CTGCAGTGGACACAGTGATCCACTGCACTGTACAGGCCTCCAGTGACCACACCAACAACCTTGCTGCAGGCAGGAGGAGTGAGTTTGCATTAAAGAGAAAGACATGCAGTCAGTGTAAAAGGATGGAGGGAGACACACAGAGGGAGCTGTAAAAGTAAAAGCAGGAGAGAAGGAAAGATCTTCACTGAAGCTCGAGACAGTGTGACCTCTGGCTGCCCTCGGTCGCTTTCTCTTTCACTCCATGTAATCTTTTGTTTTTCTTTCCATGCACCTGTTATCCAGCCACCTTCCTGTTCCCCTTTTCTCTGTTCCTTCACTCTTTCCTTGTTGTATTTTTAATCTCGATGCTCCCGAGCACATCTGTAATGCAGTTCTCTCGTTCCCTCCAGTCTCTGCAAGGTCCTGTCAGGTTATGTGGCCAGATGTTCAGAGTAGTTTTGCTAACGACTGCTTGACAATGACTTGAAAAATGAGTCACTGCTCTGAAGGCTTACATGATAAAAAAAAAAAAAAAAAGAATGATAAAAAATATATGATAAAATAATAATAAATAATAATAATAAAAATGATAAAAATAAAAGTTTAAGGGATCTACATTGTTCTTCACTTTGGTCTGTTTTCAGGACTGAATGTGACATTTGTCTTCATCAACACTTTCATGACATGGACGGAGGCTCAGAGCTACTGCAGAGCTCATCACACAGACCTGGCCAGTGTGAGAAACATGTCTGAGAACCAGAGAGTAACAGAAGTGCTACCTGCAGGGCAAGCTGCCTGGATCGGCCTTTTCAGAGACTCCTGGAAGTGGACAGATGGTAGTAACTCCACGTTTAGATACTGGAACACAAATCAACCTGATCTAAGCACAGGGAGTAAGCTTTGTGTGTCAGGACTCTTTGTATCTTTATCTGGAGTATGGGAGGACTGGAACTGTGATCGAAAAACAGCATTCATCTGCTACAGTGGTAAGCTGCACTTTGTTACTTTCCAACAGTGAAAAGCAAAATTTCCAGCTTACCGCAGTCCACCAAATCATCAAACTATTAAAACAGCAGTATTCAATACAGGCGCGGGACAGCCACTCCACTCACCTGGTGAAAAAGCTGGGAAGAAAGCTGCTTTGCATTTCCTGCTTTACAAGGTTTTGAATTCATTCAACTCTTTAAATGGGAAGTCAAAGCGTGAGATTGAGGCTGGAGAAAAATACAAGTCTGGATCTGAATGACGATGATGTGATGGACGCCATGCTGAAACAGGTAGCTGGTTTTGGGGCAGAATAATTCAGTCACCTGCAGCGTTATTGTGAAACATAGCTTCAGCTGCTTTAACTTTCATATACCTGATAACAACAAACTTATGCAGCAGCAAAAAAGAGTGAATAGCGAATATTAGTGAATGATTTTGTCATATTCTGCAAATCACATTTTTGTGTGTCCCAGCTCAAACAGACGCTGAAGGAGCAGGGAGTCGCTGGAGATCTCGCACTGAGCTGGAGGAAGCAGCCAGATGGAGAAGTCTTCCACAAGGATGAAGAAGGAAACAAGGAAAGGAAACCATCTGTATAAGACAAGCTTTACCAACTTTGGTTATGAAACATTTCTTTCTGCTTTGTCCTTTTAAAA